TTCTAATAAGGTACGTGAGGTTAATAGGGTTACCTTAAGTTTTGCCGTCCTATAGAACCAAAACTAGGAGGAAGATAGATATAAAAAAAACACAAAATCGTATACAATAACTAATATATCAATAATAGCAAACAAGCTTTGGCAATATTTAGAAACATTTCGAAAAATCAACTTAATAAAAAATAACTACATTACGCCATACTAAAAACGATTAAAATATTTACTATTATATCAACTGTACCCTTATTAGTCTTAGTACCCTTTATTATTTAATTGACTGATGAAGAGCTATCGAATCATATAGCCTTCTATGCAAACAAACCTGTAGTTTTTGAGTTATAAGAAAGTGACCATATTACCCTCACGTACTATAATGTATAGGACACGGTTCGGTAAAAATTTCTGTCCTTGGAAAAACCAGAAATAAACTTAGCATACCCAATTGTTTAAGTAAAATATTTTAATGATATAGATTATTCAATTTAGTATATTGTAGTGTAGTCATGCAATGGTGACGTATGGAAGTCTCCATACCAGACCGTAGGTATGGTAAGAGGCGACACATGGAAACTGAAGCGGGTGATTGTCAGCAGCATCTTCCTGATAAAAGCTGATTTTATAGAATAGGGATGACAAACGAGCACACAGTCCACCTGATTGTAAGTGTATGCTGTGGCCCATAGACATCTATATTTATCCTTGATTAAAAATCGAAACGTAGATGTGTTGTCACCCCTGAGGACTACGATGGAATATCTCGTTTCCAGTAAAAAAGGATCTCCGGATCTCTACACTCACCATACGAAACACAGCAGCATTAAGCTGGTATTTTACGCTGGTATTCTTTGAGAGCGTGGTCCTTCCCCGGTCGAGCCGACCCATTCGCGCTGCAACCACAATATAGTTGCGGCATGGCTCTACCACGTATAATAAAAAACGTGGCAAATGTGCTTCCTATGGTGTAGACCCTTATCCTCCAGGGAAATTTATAATGAATGAATGAATTTTATACTCTTTGTTGTGTCCTTACGTTTAAATAACTATAGTTATTATTAATATTTAATATGCCTTCTCTATAGATGTGTCTTTTTTCAATACAGTATAACATCTGTGATACTATCAAACGAACAGTAAATAGTTACTATCAAAATAAATGTGAGCCAAAACATTATTATATCATTAAGAAATAACAAACATTCCCGTAAGATCAATTCGAGGCAGCACTAAGAGGTTCATTAAGGCTATCGCATCAAGAGTCAAGAGACTCGAGTGTTTATCGAAATACATAGTAGCTTAATCATGAAACATGAAGGTATTTTGTCGTCCAATAGGCTACTTGGGATAGGAATTTTGAAATGTTCTGAGAGCTTTGACTTCGTGTGAACGTTCGAGCTGTTGAGAGTGAAGCCAAGTGATTGCTACTAATTGAATTGAATCGTGATGATATATCGTAATGTAAAATTGTATAAAGCATTCCAAAATAATGTAAGTATGGACTTTTTTTTTAAATATAAATGACTTTTATCGCATACAGCCAATTTGGATAACGATAATAAAATCAGTTTTGTTAATTCCAAATGCCTATCCATGTCCTTCTGCAAAAACAGTCAATGTATAAATAAAACCAACGCCCCGCAAATTGGCCGTATTTAAACCGGCCATATTCCTCTAGAATTTTAAATATATTGCGTTTGCAAAACAAAAAGGTAAGATCGAGATGCGGTATCGTTATTCGCGGCGGTAGTTTGTCGCGCGTTTTATGACTGTGGCGGACGTACGTTGGGCAACGCCTACGTGTATTTCGCACGAGCTTGTGGACGCGATACACCGTAGCTTGCGCAGAGGGCTAATCATCTTCCACTCGCCAGATGTCGCTAGTTAAAGTTTTTTGTTACATAATATCATTTTTATAGGATACGTGTGACAAGCGAGCACACAGTCCACATGATGATAAGTGGTTGCTGTGGCCCATAGACATCTACATTTATACTCGTTTGCGTATCGATATGCAGATATGCGTTGTCAGCCGTGAAGACTAAGATGGAATGCCTTATTTCCAGTAAAAAGAGTCTCCGGTGCTCACTCAACATACAAAGCACAGCAGCATTAAGCTGCTATTTTACGCTGGTATTCTGTGAGAACGCGGTCCTTCCCCGATCGAGTCGACCCATTCATGCTACAACTATACAACTAATATAGCTACAGCATGGTTCTACCACGTAATAAAAATAGTATTAAAAAGTATTATTAAAAATTTAATTCATAACATCGATTATTATTTATTTGACGACTCCGTGGCGCAGTGGCTTAACAATGAGTGGCTGCCCTGGGGGTCGCGGGTTCGAATCCCGCACGGAACAAGTATTTGTATGGCCTACAAATAGTTGTCTGGATTTTTGTCCTTGTGCAATTTATGTTTGTAAACTGCCCTCACGATACAAGAGAAAATCTTAGTGTAGGGGTAACGTTTAAAAAAATTAGAAGTCAATTAAGTAGAAGTTTTAAATAAAAGTTTATTACTTTCTAGAGGATTATATTTAATACACAAAAACAAAGCATCAGTTGTTTGTGTATTAAATATCTCACATTTTAAGTCCCTTTTTCATTTATCGACTTTTAAGAATATCTGTAGTTTGGTTTATTTATTTCTAATCTAATTGATTTTAGAAAGAATAACGTTTTTTTCTCCTTCATTTTCAACAAATTAAGTTCCCATTATTAAATCTATTAAATATTTCATCTCATTACAAAATGGTGCCGGCATGGTGGCAGGAAAAGACGTGGATGCCCTCATTGCTACTATTATACTCTGTATTTAGTAACAACGTGATTGCAACTTGTTTAATTGAGTTAACTTTGACTCCTCAGTACGCATTTTCAACCACACGTTGCTTAATAAACCCTCAAAAATTAAACTTCAAGAGTATGAGACAAATGCAAAGTATCAGGATGATTGTATTATGTAATTAAAATATAAATCAATTTATAATAAACGCTGTATACTATATTTTATCTTTTTTTCTCGCAGGCTAAATTCAATTTTTTCGTTTTCGTTTTTTGTTTAATCGAATTTCAAATCACAATGATTCTAAAGAAGTTTTCAGTTCAATAAAATAAAATAAAATATTGTTCTTCCAACTAGCACAATCGGTTTCGTATTCATGAGGCACTGGTAACTAAAACTGTATTGTCGCTTATTTAAAAAGAAAATCATATTTCATTATATTATTTTCAAACATCAATGAAACGGCAGTGAAACACAAATCATGCTTGCTGGTCGTTCGATTAAGAAGTAGCGCTAAATAAATCGATTCGGTCAGCACGGTATGAAAGTCGATTTTGTGTTGTCATCGAAATTCAATTTTATACAACAGTTGCTATAGAATTTTGATTTATTATTTCTTATTGAGTTAGGTAAACGAATTTGAATAACCTTAACCTTAACTCTCTGATTTTATATGTAAATTTAAGATATATTTGCAACATTATGCACGACGTGGGAGCTTGTATCACAGACGCAGGTAAAACCTTATTATTCATTAATAAACGCATTTAATGCTGCGTCGCGGTCGAAAGTCGTAAAGTGAGGTATTTTATAACCTCAAGCTTGAAGATAATCATGTGATTCCCATACCAGGCTAACAGGGCACTCAGAAGGTGGACAAGTAGTTTCTCTTAGGCAAATTGCGAAAGTTGAGGATGCGAGTCGACGTGTCTACCAATAATGGCTTCGAAATAGAAACGTAATGCGTTGGTGGCGAAGTTTTCGATATTAAATTTTCTATCTGTCGATTTTATTTAGCGTGCGACTCTACGAGAGTAGCTTCTCGACTTTATTTAGTGTAGGTGGAATATCTTAATAAAATTTTAATTCTATTACAAATGTATGGTCCATTATATTTTAAAACAAACATGCTTTTGTCCGGAAAACGATATTTTTTATAGAATAAGGTCGACAAATGTTTACACAGTCCACCTGATGGTAAGTGGGATGCCGTACTCCATATACAACTATACCTATCCTAGATTGAGAATCAAAATGTAAATGCGTTGCCACCCCTGAGGACTAAGATGGAATGTCTTGTTTTCCAGTAAAAAGGGTCTCCGGTTCTCTACACTCACCGTACGAAACAAAACATAGCATTGAGCTGCTACGCTGCCTGCTTACGCTGGTATTCTGTGAGAGCGTGGTGCTACCCTGGTCGAGTCGACCCATTCGTGCTACAACAATAATATAGCTGTAGCATGGCTCTATCACATAAATTACTTCCAGATAATTCGTAGAATCAGGCTTTATTTTGCAAAAATCCATTATATAATATAGGATAATAAATCTAAAAAAGAATCTTAACTAATTAATTTTAACATCTTAAAATCAGAAACCTCTCAGGAAAATTACAGCCAAGACGTAAGAGTGACAAACTTGCACACAGTCCACCTCTTGTTAAATAGCCTATAGAGTTGATATGCCATGATTTGTCACAATACCATGAGTGCCTTTGCTCAATTCCTTAATACCATTCTCTTGAATGCGTGTAGCCATGTTCCCCACAGCTTGCTGAAATAATGTGCTATATTTGTCACAATTACTTTTACACCACCAATGAAGTAATGGTTTTCTTTGCAAATTGGTCCAAAAGATTTTTTAATATAAATAAGATTTCAAATCACACGACAAAATAAATGAAAAACGTAAAATCTTTCCAGTAAATAAAGAAATTCAACCATTAAAACCATTAAGCAAACATTAAAAGCCTATGCAAATCCTGTCTAGCATCGCCATGTTCTACCCGAACGAGAGTTCAGTAATGAGTCAGAGGAATGAGACCCAAAGAAAGAGATTAACAATTTAAATGCAGATGTGTTGTCACTGTTAAAAACTAAGGTATAAAGCCTCGATACTAGTAAAATTGTCTCCGGTTAACTCAGTAGCAGTAAGTGCCCGCGCAAGAAATAAACATAATACATAGTCCTAAATACAAGGAAGAAATATCACTCACCAATTATTTACTTGTAGTATCGTTAACCCTGTGTCCTGTGCTAATTGTTTTTTCTGGTCCTCCGATGGATAGGGGTGCTGAAACAAAGAAAAATTGGTATGTAGTAGTGTAGTGTGGTAGTAATGAGTTTAATCAAATGCAGTTAAAATCAATTCATGTAATCGCACTTTGTATATGCGAAGGACAAAAGTCTAAAAGGATTCGACTTTTTCTCAGAATAAAGAATAAGTTTAAAGGTAACATATATACATAAGGTATGCCTCCGATTGGTCGGACGGATTTAGTTCCGTGGCTGTCGTAAGAAATGACTATGGGTTAAGCCAGAAAGATATGGTACAATCATTTTGTGATGCCAGGCATAAAATATTATTATGGCAAAAACTTGTGATGATTATGACAAATCTTCTATTCAAGTGTAGACTTTAAGGGCAGGTGATGATCAAATAAAAGAAAAAATCTAGTATACTGTAGTACATTTTGTTCGTAATATGTATTTAGAAAGTTTTTTTTCGTTCTATTGCATATCTTGTCACTCTAAATATTAAATTACATAAATTTTCTCCTATAACGTCACAGGGAGGCTACAAATATTGAACAGCGATTGGACATGGTAACAAATAATAGAAAACAAGGTCCCATTATCACGTGCTGAAAAACACTTTCATGAAAGAAACAAACTAAGGTTTATCAGATTTGTTTTACATACATAAATTCTACTACGACTATTAACATCGAGACCCGGAAAATATTTTGGGTATACAAAAATTTGCTCCTTGTAAGTTTAGGACTTCTTCCTCGCAGTCATTAATTTATTTAGCCATCACTTTAATTTTGCACCCAGTAAAAGTTAACTGTAACATAAATAAAAAATAATTTAACGACAGACGTCATTTTTATCGAGTCCCAAGGACAGGTTACTGCGGGAGCATGACTCACGTATATCTAATGTTATTGGTTTTTACCGTGCGAGTCACAGGGTGGATCCCCCGCGAGACTTCCTCTATTTCATCTCGCCTTGGTAGCCGAACCGCAGGTAGCGTACGTGTGTGTAAATTATTAACTTTCACGGTTCCAGTCCCTGGTCGATACCGGCTGTTCGAGCTACGTGACCGACTAACTTTAACTTAACTCTATGTACACCTGTGCAGTATTTAATTTATTTAGCTAAGTTTATTTCTTTTATGGTTATGAAATCTTACGGTTATACTTTTGCCAGTATCAAGTAACAAAAAATTAAAAAAAGTTAAAGTTATTAACAATAAGCTGAATGCGTCATATTGTCTTTGGGAGATTTTGACGACAAGCTAACCCCGCGGACAGTCAATAAATCAAGTATCTCAAATTCTTGAGGTGGCTACGCGAACAAAATAAATTGAGGTTTTTGTCAATATCGGAGCGCTTGTTTTGTCGTTCGCACCATTAGTTCACATGCACAGACACTTAATCAAATCTACTTCACACCTTTGTTTAAATGGCTATACAACAGGAACAACATTAGTCGGCGATTATAAATTCAATATGGTGTCCCATTTAGGTATGTATTTATTAAAGAAAGCTAAAAAACTGAAATTGATTAACAAAACCGAGATTATCTTTGATCTGCCATAATCAAAAATGTTAACATCGTCATCCTTATCATTAGGTACAGCCCTACACAAGTGTTGAATAAATGTCTCTTCATATAAATGCTACATACACTACACTTCGCTTGTGTACGAGGTACAAGGTTGACACTTGAGAACTTTTATTCCCCATCGATTGTCAGTACTTTGACCTATATGGCCGGCTAATCGCCACTTCAGCTTACATAATCCGTGATCCAGTACCGATATCCGTTGGTCTATGTCGATTACTCTGATTCTAAAAGAGACATCTTCATTATGAAGTCTGTAACACAGGAAAACTCCGAACATATCACTCTCCATAACTCCGTGAGCGCTTTGAGCGAACCTTGAGCTTCTTCATACAGTCAGCAATGAAGGACCATGTCTTTTATCATTATAGCAACTGGCAACACACACTAGTAGTAAATAAATTTTGCGACTTAGAACTGACTTCAGATTTTTTTATACATATATTAGTTTTGAAAATATAGTTAGTTAATATAATTTTATTTTAATAAGTTTATAATATACATTTATTTTAGTTAGTTTATAATAATTTAATTACATCAAAGAATTGTTTTCTTCAATTGAGTGAATGTGTGGAACATTGCTTAGAATTAAGAATAAGAAATTAAACGATGCAATAAAAAAGACCATAAATACATCTTAACAATTCATGTGATGATGAGCTATTTGTCATTTCTCACGTAAATATTTTATGGCCGCTTTTAAAAAAGATATGTTTATTTAAAGAGACATGATTTAACATGTCCAAGACGGCAATGTACTCAGAGTAAATCACTGAAAAATATCGCCCGGTGTCGTGCCAACAAAAACAAAAGGAGCCAAAAGGCGCAAGAGAAGACGCGATAAAGCCGGGCTCCCAAAGAAATTGATACGTCGCCCGCTACGAGGTTTGTGACGCATAGCGCACCATTGTCCGCGCTTACTTACCTCCTATGATTTATGCTTGTTTTGTAACTTTTGTGCAGTGTACACACACAATTTACGTACGGTTTTTTATAAATATTAAATTGCATATGCGAGCTCAGCTCCTGAGTCGTAAAATCTGTTTTTTGATCATAACAAGCGAACGTGTAACACACACAAAATCGATTTTCGGGTATTATATTGGTATTTCCGAAAATCTGTAATTTTTTTATAGAATAAGGGTGACAAAGTAATAAACTCCACTGTCTACTGATGTTAAGTGAATGCTGCCATAGACATTTACACGTATTCTCAAATTAAAATCAAAACGCAGATACGTTGTCATCCTTGAGGACTAAGATGAAATGCCTCGTTTCCGGTAAAAAGAGAGAGAAAAAAGGCTGACAAGCGAGCACACAGTCAATTTGATGGCAAGTCTGTGCTGTTGCCCATAGATATATATCTACCACTATACTCGATTAAGAATCAAAATGCAGATGGTTTGTCACCCCTGAGGACTAACATGGAATGCCTCATTACGATTGTTTGTTGACCTGAACAAAATTTAAAAAAAATCGTTGCGAATTCTTATTCTAGATTTTATCATCTGCACTGATCTATAAACGACTGAAATTTAGTGCAAATCAAATATAAAAGCGGTAAGGTTAACCGCATTAAAAGCCACCAGAAAGCCTTCGCAGGAATCATTAAACATTGGACCATAAATCGGAACGAGCCGATGCCTCTCGGTGCCGCCGTAAAATCTTTGTAATAAAAATAAAAGCGTATGGCGCATTACACCAATTCCCCGATGCGCTGGAGTGTCTAAATAATGTATTCATAGTGAGAATTACACGGGAAAAGGTCTTCGCAATCCCGTTCCTGAAGGGGAAATGTTATGGGGCGAATTACGTCACTCGTATTTGACGGCGCGATCGTAAAACAATGATGTTTTCTCCATTTTAAAGTCGAGCGTCTATAAAATTTTATAATAAACACTTTAAGGTGCATCGAATGGGTAAATTTCGCGTTTGCTTATACTTGAACGAGTTTTACAGCTGTGAACAGATTATTGAATTAAACAGAAGTCGTAACGACGTGTCAATTGCTTTAACCAATTAATTTACAATGCAAACTTTTGATTTCCTTAAATTTAAAGCTTTACAGTAAGTATGTAAAAGATTTATTCTATACAATAATTGATATAAATTATCATAACAAAAAAGATGTCCCGCCACAGACCGAATCACATAATATAGTCTTAGTTTTAATAATTTCTTAAACATTGTATTAATAGGAACGCCCGGAACGAGTATTTGTATGGCCCACAAATAATTGTTTCAGGCCAGGGTTTCAGTTCAGGGTTTATTTATTTATGTAAACTGCCTCCATGGTGCAGAACAAAATTCTAGTGTGAAGGTAATAGAAAAGAAAGAAAGAATTTAGTTACACATCAGACTCAAGCTCGTTTAATTTTTTTAAAGTATATTTCTCCCTTTGACCATTGAATAATCTAAGATTCCTCCTCAGTGAAAAAATTACATTTGCATGCGTTGTCACCCTAAGAATGCAATTATAAATGATTACGACATTAATTCTGAACTGTACAAGCATTCATACGAGTTAATTACGTAAAATATATTACCATTTGGACTTTTAACATGGATAAGGATGTTTTTTTATTTATTTATTAAGCATAATTTTGTACAGTATCCAGTACTATACTAGAATGTAAACCTCTAGGGGTTTATCTACGCTAGAGAGACGTCTTATACTCGTATAAACAAAGATGTATTAAATCTCAAATTAATCAAATTATTCTAAGATAAGTACCTACTACAATAAGTATATGGATGATTTAACAAATACGATTTAAGTTTACTTTTAAACAGTTTTGATTTACCGTATGTTTTTTGTAATTCTATTTGCAATGGATAACGTACTTAAAATTAGAGTAGAAGTAGAAAATGTACAGTTTAGTTTAAGCTCGGATTATCTGGGAGTTCTTTTAAGTTTAAAATTAGAGCCTTAAACTTACAAAAATAAACAGTATTGTATTGTATAAGGGTGTGAACTACAAATTCAGAAAGTCGTGAATTTGAATCCTCGATTCTGTTGTGAACCAGTCCTAATAAAATACTAGTCGTATTTTAAGCTTACCTGGAATGGTAAACAGGATTGTAAGTGATGTTTAACATTATTTTGTATTCCTTTTAGATTTTTTTAAAAAATATCGTAGGTTTTATAGATAGTATTTTCATTAAATAAATGGACACATGTTTTGTATCCTTGTTTCTGATAAAGGGATTGCACAATATTGCACTTGCATTCATGCAGCTGCTATTCAAAAACTCTCTTACCTCCCAAAAGGTTGTCTGCTTTTTAAACTTAGTGATAATTTAGTAAATAGTGATCCGTTGGGTTCTGTCGCTACATTTGTATCTGCTGAGGATTCTCACATACAAAAGTAAAATAAATATCCAAAAAGCATAAGATACACAAATGCGGAGTAGGTGAACTAATTATAGCAGAAGGTGGGCGAT